ATGTGACCAGACCTAATTTTATTACATTTTTTCCACAGCCATTAAGCAAGTCAACAAGTCATTAAGTGAATCATGTGGTTGTTAAGTGAATCATATGATTGTTAAGCGAATTTTATGGTTGTAAAGTGAATTTGGCTTCCCCAATTGACGGTAATTGACTGGGAAGATCACAAATCACAGTCATGTCGATGGCAGGTTGTAAATCACTTTTTCCTGGACTATCTTTAAGCGAACAGTTGTAAGTCAAGCTTTGCCTGTATATACATTTTTTTTAACAGAAAGACATTGATTTGGACCCAAAGAAATCTACATTTTGCTGCTGCAAATTCACTGTGACATTTTTGATGCTTTATAAAAATGAAAAGTTTGTAACTAATCTATTTCATTCATTCCTTTTAAATAGATGTCAAAATGAAAAGTTCTGTAGGTGAGTATAAAGTTTTTAAAAGATCTTTTTAAATTTGAATATTTTTTAATAACATTAATGTTTTATGCTCCACTCTGTGCTTACATTCTCACCAGTGCAAAATTAAAATGTGAAAAATGGATTTTTAAAAATATTTACATAGTTTCTCAATTCAGTAGGTTTTTTTTAAGTAACTGATATTCCTTTTCCTTAATACTGAATGTAATTGGAAAAAAAGTTGGTATATTTAGGTAACATTTAAATAAGCAGTTCTTGAAATAAGATAGGAAGAACAAGGATGAACTTTAAGAATGTCCGCGGCTATTCTTGATTTTTACTTTTAGTTTTACTAGCTGCTCACTGTTGCTGATTAATTCGCAAATACCTTGTACAGCATCATTTGGTAAGGAATTTCAGTGGATAAACTTTGCTATCCCTTGAAATTAATGTTAAGAACTGGCTTTATCTCTGAACTCATGTCTTCACTGCCTTTATAGGTTGGTTAGTGAAATAATCTTTAAATATGGGAGCTATGCTGGCTTTTTTGGACTCCAGAACTCCTTTTAAGCTATGGACCAAAAGGAACGTGAAATGAAACAAGTCCTTAATTACTGGAGCTAAGCGGCTTTCCTCCTCTAATTCTACAAAATTGAATTTTACCCAAAGCATGATTACATTTTTATTTTTCGTTATCCCATTTGACAAGCATTGTATTAGGGCATCCCAGGTGACAAACTGTCTCTTGTCTTGTCTCTCGCAATTGGCCAAGAGTAATATGGAAGAGTTGTAGTTGTGTAACACGACATATCTTTCCTGTAAAGGCTGAGTTCCTGCAAAGGTTCTCCAAACTTTTTTGAAAGTCCTGGAAACCTGCAAAACCTCCTGTGTGAGCATTTTTGGATCTCTCCCATAGAAGCTTTAAATTCACACAGTCACTTTCTTATCTTACGTAATATAGAAAATTTACTCCTTGTTTGCAACATGGTATTTTTCCACCCGGTAAGATTTTAATGTAAAAATAAAATAAAGCAAAAGCTGTTTTCTCTGGACTTCTATGCTGTTACTTTATTCTTGAGGAAGTAAAAATACAAAATAGGCACAAGCTTAAAGTGCCTAAGTAAGAAAAAGTGAGGAATATAATCTATCAGAAGTGCTGGATGTCAATTTTCAAATTTCAAAATTCCTAGCAATGATTATGCTGGCTAGAGATTTTAGAATTTGAACTCTTGAGGACTGCAATAAAAAAAAAAGAATAAGTATTCAGTTTAATTGGAGAGTTCCATCATAACATATTATATATTCACAATACAGCATCGTGTAACATTCAAGATGGCGCACTTTCTGGCAGTGAAGGAAAATTGGTTTTTCCTGAATTCCCAAAGCCTTTTTATCAGGATAATCAGTAAGTAGTTAAACTACACATCTGTATTTATTTGCCATTTTCTAGGCTCAATTACCCTGTATTATTGCATACAGAGACCTTCTCAATTCATACCATATTGTAGTATAAAAAATGATCATAAGCAGAGGTGAAATCCAGCAGGTTCTAATAAGTTCTGGAGAACTGGTAGCGGAAATTTGAATAGTTCAGAGAACCAGCAAATGCCACCTCTGTCTGTCCCCAGAGTGGGGTGGGAATGGAGATTTTGCAGTATCCTTCCCCTGGAATGGGGTGGGAATGAAGATTTTGCAGTATCCTTCCCCTGCCATGCCCACCAAGCCACACCCACAGAACCGGTAGTAAAAAAAAATTGAATTTCACCACTGGTCAAAAGTCACATTTTTCAGTGTAACTTCGAACAGTCCCTAACCAAATAGTTGTAAGTCAAGGATTACCCGTACATCTAATTAGAATTTTTAATTATGTAAACCCTAACAGAGTGATCACATTCAAAAGATTAAAAGTATGATTTCATTAATACAATATATTAAGGGCATTTTCTCATGGCCATATTAATCTTCATTCTTTTTATCTTTAATTTGGCAAAAACAATAAAAGATAGTGCCAGAATAATTTCTGGTGCCTGAAACCCTAGCCATATTCTCCCTTAGAACCTGCTACAGGAGATCGGTACTGTCCTTATAGATTTAATGCA